TATAAAATGAATCTAGAAGTTTTCACTCCTCTTCCGTGGTCTCAAAGAGTTTGTGTAGAACTGATATTTCTTTCTTGAATGTTTGGTATATCAAGTCCATTCTACTGAACATACTTTAAAATCAGTAATTTCGTGTAAACTAACACCATTTGCACCATAGGTAGGAATCCTCAATGTTTTAAAGATGTCACTTCTCAAATTGACTTTTTGGATTTATTTAATTTAAATCTAAATTGTAATAGGGTTTTACAAAGAATTTGATAAGTTAATTCTAAGTTTATGTGGAAGAATTGAAAGTATTTCTAAAGAAGGATAAGAAGATGGTGTGACAACAGATGAATGGATAAAGATGTGGTACACACACACACACACACACACACAGGAATATTATGCAGGCATCAAAAAGATGAGATCTTGCCATTTGGATGACATGGATGGAAATGGAGGGTAATTATGCCAAGCGAAATAAGTCAATCAGAGAAAGACAATTATCATATGATCTCACTGATATGCAGAATTTAAGAAGCAAGGCAGAGAATCATACAGGAAGAGAGGAAAAAATGAAACAAGATGAAACCAGAGAGGGAGACAAACCATAAGAGACCCTTAATCATAGGAAACAAACTGAGGGTTGCTGGAGAGGGGGCGGGATGGAGTGGCTGGGTGATGGACATTGGGAAGGGTATGTGTTATGGTGAGGGCTATTGTGTAAGACTGATAAATCATAGACCTGTACCCCTGAAACAATAATACATTATATGTTAATTTAAAAAATTTTAAAAAAGAAGATGGTGTGATAAGCCCCCATGAAACATCAATGCTTATTGTAAAGCTATAATAATTAAGATAGTATTGAGGGCATGGGATAGACAAATTAACTAATGTAACTAAACTGAGAGACCAGAAATGAACCCATACATACAAGGATATGAGAATATGAGACAAATGAAAGAAATGGGTTATAATTCCCTGAAGAAAGGTTGAGTCTTTTTATATGTTAACAAAAAGAATTTTTAATAAATAAATAAATAAAGACATGTGGAAGGAAAACTTTAAAATTTAAGAAACGAAAGTAGAATACCCATGACCTTAAAATAGGAAAGAGTGTATTAAATTAAGTGCAAGAAAAAAAGGATGATTTTCAAAAGTAGGTTGATTAAATTACATTAAAATTAAGAATTTCTGTTAATACAGCAAAAGAAGCCATCAACAAACTTAAAAGACAACCTAAAGAATGCAAAAAAATATTTGCAAACCATATACTTGATAAGGGGTTAATACCCAAAATATATAAATAACTCATACAACTCAATAGTGGAAAAAAAAAACTAAAATTAAAAATAACCCAATTTTAAAATGAGCAAAGGACCTGAACTGATATTTCTCCAAAGAAGATATGTGAAAGGCCAACAGGTATATGTAAAGATGTTCAACATCACTACTCATTATGGAAATACAAATTAAAACCACAATGAGATATCACTCACACATGTTAAAATGGCAATCATAAAAAAAGACAAGAGATAACAAATGATGACATGGATATGAAGAAGAGAGAATCTTTGTGCACTACTGGTGTGGTTGTAAATTGGTACAGCCTCTTGGAATATAGGATGAAGGATCCTTAAAAAATTAAAAATGGAACTACCATATGGTTCATTCCACTTTTGGGAATATATCCAAAGGAAATGAAAACTCCAAAAGCTATCTGCACCCCCATGTTCACAGCAGCATTTTTTTTACAGTAGCCAAGACATGGAAGCTATCTGAATGTCCATTGATGGATAAATGGATAAAGAAATTGTAATATATATACATAAATGGAATTCAATTCAGCCATAAAAAGGAAATCTTACCATTTGTAACAGCATGGATGGACCCTAAAGACATTATGCTGAGTGAAATAAGTTAGAGAGAGGCAAATACTGTACGATCTCACTTATACATGGAATCTAAAAAAACCAAACCAAAACAAAACAAAACACCTCACAGAAAAGGAGATCAGACTTGTGGTTACTAGAGTTGGAGGGTGAAGAGAGGGAGAATTGAAGGAAGGTGGTCATAGATACAAACTTCTAGTTTTAAGATAAATAAATGCTAGGGTTGTAATGTACAACATGATGACTATAGCTAACATTTCTGTATGGTATATAGAAAAGTTGTTAAAGAGAGTAAGTCCTGGGATGCCTGGGTAGCTCAGTCGGTTAAGCATCCGACTCCATTTTAGCTCAGGTCATGATCTCGGGGTGATGAGATCCAGCCCTGCATCAGGCTATGCACTCAGCACAGAGTCTACTTGAGATTCTCTCCCTCCCCCTCTCCTTCTTTCTCCCTCTGCCTCTTCCCTTGTGTGCACTGTCTCTCAAATAAATAAATAAAATCTTTAAAAAAGAGAGAATAAATCCTAAGAGTTCTCATCACAAGAAGAATGTTTTTCTTTTTTTTCTTCTTCCTTTTCTGTTTATTGTATCTAGATGGGAAGATGGATATTAGCTGAACCTATCGTGGTAATCATTTCACAATATACATAAATCAAACCATCATGCTGTATATCTTAAAGTTATACAGTGATGTATGGTAATTAATTCTCAATGAAATTGGGAAAAAAATTTCTGTTATCAAAAAACAAAGTAAAGGGACGCCTGGGTGGCTCAGTCGGTTAAGTGGCTGCCTTCGGCCCAGGTCATGATCCCAGGGTCCTGGGATCGAGTCCCACATCGGGCTCCTTGCTCAGCAGGGAACCTGCTTCTCCCTCTCTCTCCCTCTGCTTGTGCTCTCTCTGTCAAATAAATAAAATCTTAAAAAAAAAAAAAAGTAAAACTATAGACTAAACTGAGACAAGTTACTTGTAGCACAAAGGAATAGTATAGTTATAATATAAGAGACTATAAATTGGTAAGTAAAAGATAAGTAATAGAAAAATAAGCAAATAAAAGACATTCTACAAAAGAGGGACTATAAATGTGAATAAATAGAAAAGAAAATGCACAGCATCAGTAATCACATAAATTCAAACTAAGACTACAGTGAGATACCATTTTATATCCACTACATTGGAAAAACTAAGAAGTCAGATACTACCAAGTATTAGAGGGTAATGTGGATCAACAGGAACTCATATACGTTACTCGTGGGAAAGTAAATTGTTACGATCATTTTGCAAAATAATTGGGCACTATCATGTAAGTGAAAGATTTTTATGTCTTAAACATTTTTATGCCTTTTACGTCATAGGAACTCCAATCCTAGAGAAATGTTTGTATAAGTTCACCAGAAGATTTATACAAGAAACTTCAGAGCAGAATTATTTATAATTGCAAAACAATAGAAACTGAAATGTGCTTCAGCATTAGAAAAATGAATAAATTATGTTATACTCAATAAAATTCTATAGAATAAATTTACAACTACATGCAAAACCATGAATGAATTGTAGAAGTATAATATTGATAAAATAAGACCCAGAAGACTATATATAATATGATAACATTTTTATAAAGCTCAACTGTTTAGGGATTCATATGCAGTCGGAAACTATTTTTTATGACAAGGTAATGATAAACAATGTTCAGCACAGAGGTTGTTGGAAAAGCAAGGGATTGTGATAGGAGAGTAGCACATGAGCCTTCAGTGACTTTGGTTTCATACCTGAGCATTTTATAATTATAATTTACATAATTTACATATGTATCCTTTGGTTTATATCAATTATATAATTTAACAGTTTTTAAAGATTAAATAAGGTTGTGTGTGTGTTTGTGTGTGTACTTTCAAAATGGTTAGTTGTTATCACTATTCATGATTTAATCCTATGCAGAAGGAATGAGCAAATGGCCAGATTTTCTAGATTCCTCCAACTCTATACAGTGAGTAATGGGAGAAAGAATTTTCATCGGATTAAGGGCTCAATGACCACAAAATATTTCACTCTAGCACTATACCACTCTGCCAGAAGACCCCATCCCTCAGCCTGTCATTAGCTTACCAGCCTGTGCAGGACTTCTGCTTTATATGGCTAAGGCAAAGAAAAAGTCAGAGAAAGCTTTATCACCAGGTAATGAGTTCAGTTTTTTGTCTCCCCAATCTCTTCCTCCAAAAGAAAAGCAAAAAGAAGCCCAAATCAGTTACAAATCCTGAAGGTAAATACGCCCAATGCCTTCCATAATCCTACAACCCATATACTATCTTCTCATTAGGAGAAAAATAAAATCGAATAAAGGAGAATAAAAGGGGAATGGAAAGAAACAATGCTTGACTGGTTGCTGAAATTGTTCTATTTCTGACCCACTGAAGCTCAAGGCACATTTTTAGCTTTCAGATAAACTTGTACAAAAACTGGATCCAGATAAAAATATGTTCCCCCTTGTAAGATAATTTTTCAAAACTGTCCATTTTTCTAGAAATACTTTGAGTAATCTACTGACATCTTTCTGTGGTCAAATTAATCTAGCACTATATATGCTGCAGACCATATATCAAGTAATGTGAAGCAGCCATTCCCAAGACAGATTTTTGCCATGCCCTTGCCAAAACAAGTAGAAGCCTCCCTGAACCTATCACAATTCAGACTTTAAAAACTTCCAACCATATCAACTGTATGATTATAGAAATCTTAATGAGCATATGATGGTTTCGACAAACTTGAAGAAAAGCTTATGAGAATCCTTGTGGAAGATGTCTCTACTACTTTTTGAAGCCATAACCCACCGGTCTAGTGTTAGAGCAGAGACAAAACACAGAGCAATAAAAGGTAACTCAATTTATATGCTGACATCATCCAAACACCATTAGGTGATATATTCCAAAGAAACACGTATTTAAAAACCCCCTTTCTTTGTCCGTAAGTTTCCCTCAAATGCTGCCTATAATTTTATTCTAATTTCTCTCAAAAAAAAGTGAGAGGAAGAAAACATATTAAAAATTCTCCTCTGAGTCTTAAATCAGCCTTGTTCTCCACCTTCTCTTTCTCTTTGTTAGGTAGGAAGGTTCTCAAGGAGAGGAGGCACTGTTGATGGCTTGTTAGTCTGGCTGTAGCTAACAGGCTCCATCCCAGTGCTCCAGCAGCTCCAGCAGCATAGGACTGACTGACTCATGGCTCTCAGTTTCAGGTCCTGGGGACACAGGGCCTGGAAAATTTTGTCTAAAATTTTTAAATAAATTTTTAAAAATTTTTAAAAAGGAAGGCGAGGGGAAAAAACTGGGTTCATAAAGCCAGATTCATCCTTAGTGGTTAGTGAAAGACAAAGGAGTGTATTTTAAGTTAATAATTTTTGACTAAAACTATTCATAAGAATCATTCTATATGGGGCGCCTGGGTGGCTCAGTTGGTTAAGCGACTGCCTTCGGCTCAGGTCATGATCCTGGCGTCCCGGGATCGAGTCCCGCATCAGGCTCCCTGCTCGTCAGGGAGTCTGCTTCTCCCTCTGACCCTCCTCCCTCTCATGCTCTCTGTCTCTCATTCTCTCTCTCGCAAATAAATACAGTCTTAAAAAAAAAAAAGAAGAAGAAGAATTCTATATGTTCATGCAATCTAAGCCACCTTTATCTTAACCAGGGGTTCTCAATTAAAAACACTTAAGGAGTTAATTTAAAATATTTAAGGGGCACCTGCATGGCTCAGTCGGTTAAGTGTCTGCCTTCAGCACAGGTCATGATCTCGGGGTCCTAGGATTGAGTCCCACATAGGTCTCACTGCTTGGTGGGGGGTCTGCTTCTCCCTCTCCCTTTTCTCCTTCCCTCTGCTCATGCATGCTCTCTCTCTCTCAAATAAATAAAATATTTTTTTAAATAATGATAAAAAAATAAAACATTTAGGTGACTTTCATTTCTCCACTACTGAAGGATAATTTTGCTGGATATAGAATTCTAGGTTACTGAGTCTTTCTTTCAATACTTTAAATAACTCAGTCCACTTTCTCCTTGCTTGCATGATTTCTGATGAGAAGTCTGCTGTAATTTTTATCCTGTTTCTCTATAGGTAAGGGGTTTCATTCCCTCTTTTTTTTTTTTTTTAAAGATTTTATTTACTTATTTGACAGAGAGCGACACAGCGAGAGAGGGAACACAAGCAGGGGGAGTGGAAGAGGGAGAAGCAGGCTTCCTGCAGGGCAGGGAGCCCGATGCGGGGCTCAATCCCAGGACCCTGGGATCGTGACCTGAGCTGAAGGCAGACGCCTAATGACTGAACCACCCAGGAGCCCCTCCCTCTTTTTCATTCCCTCAAAATTTTCTCTTACCCTTTGACTTTCTGCAGTTTGAATAAGATATTCCTAGGTGTGTGTGTGTGTGTGTGTGTATAGATACAGATATAGATATAAATATTTTTACCCTGCTGGCTGTAAATGTCTGGATTCATCAATCTCTCTACATTTGGGGAGAGTGGTTTTCCCTATGATTTCAGTCTTCTGGTAGGTTCAACAAAAATCAGTGATTTTTAGTTTGTTCTGATCTTTACTTGTTATAAGGACAGGAATGATGACTTCTAAGCTCTTTATATGTCAGAGCTGAAGCCAGAAGTCTCAGGGGGCTTTTAAAATCCAACTGGATTGGGTTGTTGCCAAGAATTTCTTTTGTTTTTGTTTTTTGGTGTTTTGTTTGTTTGTTTGCTTGCTTTTTTACTTCCCTGAATGACTATAATGTGTAGCCAGTATTAAGTCACTTCCTTAGATCTTTAGATCTTAGAACATTTCTAAATTATGTCACTATTCAAGTCACTTAATAACAGATAATATGAAATTATTTATAATTTTCTTTCTGATAAATGTTACATGGCATATTCATTTAATAGCATTTTTTTTCTGTGATGATCATTGTAAAATGTGAGAGCACAATTGTGGCACCTCTGGACTTAATCCTGCATGTCAGAACCAATCTGCCACTTTTACTTGGTAGGATCATCTATCACCTCCTAAAAACTCACTCACCTGGGACAAATGACTCCTGATCAGTCACCTTTTAAATACTGAGCCTTGCTATTACCCCAGAGAACTACAAAATCCATACAAAAAAACAAAAAACCATAATTTTTAGTCTTATAGATCCATGACTTCCTGAAGTCCTGAGAACTTTACTACTTCTCTTAAAATAGCCAACCACATCGTTGCCCTCTTTACCTTACCTGACCTCAATAACACTTAGCAATATTGCTCACACTGTCCTTGAAAATACATTCCCCCCCATTCCTGTCATAATACTTTTGGCATCTCTTCTCTTTGGCTATTGCCTCTTATTCTCCTTCATGAGCTTTTCTTCTTTCATTCTCCCCTCTGTTTGTGTCTTTCAGTGTTGCTCTTCTTCCATTCTTCTTTGTTTTCTAAACACTACCCATGGGTAATTTTATCAACATTTTTAGCTTCAATTGTCACCCATCAAGGAAACCAAAGAACTATGCCTCAACTTTCTCTAAGAAAACATGTTTAAAAGTAGGTATCTATACTATTTTGGTTGTATATATTTTATATGCATCATAATTTGAAGGTATGTAGTTGGAATCATTTTCATTTTTCAACTACCTATAATTTAAAACATATTCTTTTTGCAAAAGTTTCAAATAGCCATCAAATTCAAAAAGAGCCTACCACCAAGAAAAAAAAATTTACCATCAGTAGTCTAGGCAAGTGATATGTCATTTCTAACTGATCAACCGAATTTTAATCATCAACATACTGCCTCAGTCCAAATATAAGAAGTAGTATTTGTTATCTGAGGAAAATTACAATTGTCATCAATTACTTGCTTTTATTTTCTGTGTAAAGGCCTAGTCTCCTGAACTATACAGTAATCTCCTCCTCTTTTGCAGAAAGACTTAGGTGTTTCACTTCTTTAGGATAACGCTTCCAGAATAATGAAACTCAAACTGGGTTCGCAACAAGATTCTAGTGCCTTATCACCATCTGCATTTATACACTGCCCAGATGATTCTGTTACAGATCACAGTAGCTCAGTCTGGTCCAATGTTGAAGACCTAGTAGTGACTGATAGGTACTTGTTAATTGATTGCTGTCTATCCAAAACAGCTGGAAATCTGACTCCACATTTAATATATAGAAAAAGATGACAGTTTTTTAATAGGTAAAAAAGTTATTTTCTTGTTTTGCTTTGCTTTTGCTTTTATTTCCTCTTTATCAATTTGACTTTGGATGCAAATAGGATAACTTTCTTGCATTAATGGGATTATTATTCCTCAATTTTCTTTGAAATAAGTAGCTTAGAGTTATTATATGAACACATGATCTATAAATCCTCCAAAAATTCTCATTAGTTTGTAGGATATTTCCCTTTTAATAAAATAGAAATTATTTATTCATGGTTATTCAACATACATCATGATTATCTGTCATCTATGACTTCTACTACTGCTCCTTTCCATTTTTTCCAAATAAGCAGTCACATTTCCATCATTAAACATCATTTAAGTCATGACTGTATCTAGAGACTGTACCAAATATGGGAGAACATGAAATCTAGATTCCAGCACCAATCATGAACCATGCTTAGCCAGAGGACACACAGTTTGAGAAGACAGAGGTGACACAGCCTTAAATTTAGCCCTTAAGCACAGTAAGATGTTTAGTGGGCCATTATTTTCACAGTTCATCACAATGAGTAGTTTTGCCATATTTGCTTTATAGAGAACATTTTATCCACCCCATAAAAATCTTTTTTCCTCTCCCCTCTTCTTTAAGCAAGGGTTGATAATCAGAAATTGAATTTTAATAAGTGCAAGAATATCCCAGTTCACTGAGATTAGAAGCTTTCATTTGCAAGATTCCATTCTAGCTTCAGGAAAACTTCTCTAACACTCTCCAGCATAATATATTGCTACTGCTTTGACTTTCATTCACCAAATAACTCCATTAATTACCAGCAACCAGACTTCACTTCCTTACAATGTTTTGTGCACCTGGTTTGCAGACGGGATGTAGTAACAGAAGCCTACACAGCACACCCAGACTGCAGTACAGGCCAGAATGTTGGCTACTCTCAACTAATTTTATGTGTCTGTGGAAAACAGAGCTTTGGAATTCAACCAGCTGAAATTACTGTTTGCTATTTCTCTATTCAACACCAACACTGTTCTGTACAAAGTCAGAACAAGGAAAGTGAATTTTCAAGATGGTGATCAAGTCATCATTTACTTGCAGACCTATTCAAATAACTATGGATTCACATGTTGAAATAGAAACCACATGAACCAAAGCCTCCCAATAGTGTGGATCTTTGTCATTGACGTTGCATATTAACAGCATGATATATCTTTCTTGTAAGGATTTCACAATAAAGGCTGAGGGCTCCTCTGAAAAAAACAAACAAAAAACGCCTTAATATACTGCATTCTTATTTACCATTTATGTCTGTATTAGTTCAGGAAGTTGAATGTCTACTTAAAATAAGTCTTAAAATGCCTTCTCTGCATGTGGCATGAGCTCCATGCCTGTAATATGCCCAATAAATATTTGAGGGAAAGAACAATGCTTTGTTTTTACTGTGAAATCAGACTCTCTTCCCTCCTATTTCTCTCACATTAACATGTTTTGCCATATCCAGGGACAGTTTTCTGATAAGAAACTAGCCACAGGAGCTGTCTTTGGATCTTGCCTCCCTGCAATCTTTCTAATAAAACCTCCAAATAAAAGTGTTGATGGTGTTCTAGGGAACTGTCCCAAGACCAGGCATGTAGGGGGTAAGGAGCAAGCTGTCTAGGAGAGTGCAGGAAGAGTACATTCCCCACTTTTACTAGGGGGTTATACTGAGCTAAAGATACAGATGGGGAAAAGACCATAGCATAATTCCTCAAAGATCTCCAGCACAGTTGAGTTAAAGCTGTTAACTACAGACCACTTTTAGGTACATTACAAAAATCCTTACACTAACTTCAGCATTCTAGAGTGAAATGCAAAAAGATGTACCCTTGGGATGTATATGCTCTCTGGATCCCAAGGACCTCGACTTAGGGAGGTCTAGGATCACAAAAACCAATGCAGGGCTACCTTCAGGGCCACTCTGTGACACCCCAGGAAAGAACCAGAATCTTTCCATAATAACAACAATTTGGACCAAATTTATTTTTTTTTTAAGATTTTATTTATTTATTTGAGACAGAGAGAATGAGATACAGAGAGCA